GCAAGCTCCTGACTGTTACAACTCCTGGCCATCTTGGTGGCCCTTTGCTGAACGCAGTCCAGTTTATCTGTATCTTTCTTGTATTAAGGGTGCCCAAACTGGATGCTGTTCTCTAGATGTGGTTTAACAACTGCCAGTCTGGAAGTGATAACCACTTCTCTCAATTTATCAGCTCTGCTTCTGCCACTAAAGGTCCAGGATGCTGACAGAATTCCCAGTGTCAGGAAACACCACTGTCCAACATTCAGCTTGCTGTTCTCGAGGATTCCCAAATCCTTTGCCACAGACCTGGCCCCCAGTCAGTCAGTTTGTCCCCAGCCTTGATAACTGAATGTGCTCCTCTCTGAGCTGGGTGCTGGGCAGCACAGCCTTCCTGAGTGACATAACGTGAGCAGGCACCAAGGACAAAGTGGTGAGATCAGGATGAGATGCCCAAAATGTTTCGCCTCATCCAACACAAGCCCACAGAGCTGCCACTGGAAGGAGGTGTAAAGATACACTGAGATGGCAGCAGTTCACAGCTCCCAAGGTCCATATTTGGAACACATTCAGCTTCGGGGAGAATTTAGAACATCTCAGTGCAATTTATGAGCTGCTTCACACTTTACTAAGCATCCTGTGATGTAGATGGGTGTGTATAAGAATCCACATTTAAGAGGGCTATATTTGGGATACTTTTTGGGAGGAGCCTCCCTCTCCTCCAGCCTTTTTGGACACAGAGAAGTGCCACTAAATGTACACTTCAAAGATGGAAGAGGCAGAGGTGATGCAAGCAGCAGGAGGGCGAGAGGGTTTGGAGAACAGTGGGAGAGCTGGAGGGGCAGGGTCACTTCAGTAGAGGAGATGGAGATTGAGTCACCTGTGCTGAAAGAGTGTGAGGAAGAGCAGAACACAAAAGAAGCAGCCAGAGAGACCTTCAGCTCTACTCCTCAAAAAACTCTTTCAGACACAGACCAAGAATTACTTCTGGAAGTCTTATTAGTGAACTGAGTAACCACTTCATGATCATTGATACAACATTTCTGTGAGGTAAAGAAAACAAACACCTGCCAAGGTAAAGGCTACTCACCACTAGTCTGGTTTCCAAGCATTTACCATGGAGAATTTGCTTTTAAGTAAAGCAAGCACCAAACTGCCTGGGAATCAGATATCCAATGCCCTGTACAACCCAGAAGAGTTTGTCTCCATACAATGAAATACATAAAAGCCAAGAAGCCATTGCCTAAATCAGTCAGTCAGCAGAGAGGGAGTCAAAGAGAAGAACAGCTGCCATGTTCATGATTTGATCCCCAAAGAGAAATCTCTGCTAGGATTTCCCAGGCCTAACTCTTGCAGAGTTTGACACCAAAGCTTTCCATCCCCATTTAATCATGAGCAGATGTGACTGATAATTCTTTGCTTTAAAAACTTTATGGACCACCAGTGTCCAGTGGCTGATCAAAATATCATGGAATGGCTGAGGCTGGAAGGGACCCCCATGCTAAAGCAGGGACAGCTACAGTACACAGGCAAGAAGATCAATATGAAGCCATTTTACACTTCCATTAAAAGAAATAGAACTAACAACACACATTACTCTTACAGCAAATGCAACGTGAACATGTAAGAGCAGATATAATAAAACCACTGGAAGATGCTTTACATAAAATATGATGACAATTAAACTCCCAGCTCAGCAAGACAATGAAAACAAGCTACCTTCAATCCCATGGCTAATAGCAAGTCCTTGACTCTGAAGTTTTATGGACTGTAGAATAAAAGGCACATCAGCTAAAATAACATTCATAACAGGGGCTCTAAAATGACAGGGTTTCACCAAAGATCCAAAATTCTACTAGACTGAAATGTAACTGACTAGAGAAACATCATTTTCAGACTGAGAAAAAAAAAAAAAACAAACCCTATGAAAATTAATAAAGCTTTAAATAATAATAGTGGTTTTGCAACATGAATTTATCTCATTGCCCAAACATCAAAATCTTGGGCTAAAGCAGAGACCTCTGAACTCAGCAGAAGAAACATCAGAGGTTACCAAAACAATTCATACTGCAGGGTGTATATAGGTATATATCCTATATACAAGTATTAATATTTAATGTAATATATTGTAATTTGCTTTTACTTCAACATCCTATGATGGCCTTAGTTTCCCATTTCACTCTGCAATGATGGAAATTATTGTACAGCAGAGGTATTGCCATTTATATGGAAAAGGACTGCTCAAGTCCACTGGAGGTTTGGATTGCCAAGAAGGATAGGAGAAATCTTCAGATCCCAGTCTGCCAAACCAAGGCTAAGTAAAGTTAATGATAAACAGCTCTTCAACTGAGTAATAAATACAATGAGGTCCTAACAACAGAACACAAGCAATCAATAATAAAACTGTTAAAAAATTAAGCCTTGTCTCAAAAACAGTCAACCCCAGTAAGTGAATCTGTTCAGAGAAGGTCTGCAGAAGGAGAGGAAATTGTCCTAACATGATCCTGGCCACCCTCCTGCACCTGCTGTTCCTTGGGAATGGACAAACTGCTTATTCTAGCACAAATCTGAGGCCTAGCTTCTCTGCCCCAATATGGCCTCAAAGAGGATGCAAATGCAGTGAAGTAAGAGCACAGCACAGATTCCTGTCTGTCTGTCTGTCAGTCTTGGCAATGTCCTACCACTGGGCAGCACGTTCTTGCAAGGGCCTGCTGGAGCAAGGACACAAAAACTCTCCTCCACACATTTTGGATGGTGCTTTACTAAACCAAAAATGTGTCTTTGGACTTCTCTGTCCCCTTAAGAGCTTTCATTCAGAACCCTACAGCCCCACATCCACACTCCACAGGACAATTTGCCTGAACTACCTGAATTCTGCCTCACTGGCGTTGCTGGGGGCACCATTTGCTTGTGTCTCACCAGTACAGGTCTGGCTTGTGCTGAGGGAGCTGTCATCATGGAGGTGCTAACACAGAAGCAGAAAACAGATTACAGCAACAGCAAGGGCTAAGAGAAAACTCTCCTTTGCAGAGTGCATGTGCAGTAAGAATCAGTGTGGTTCCTGCTATGAAGGTTAAAAGCAAGAAAACAATTGCTTGCAGCCTAGGTAGGGGATGGAAATGCCCTGCCTGCTGCTAAGGAGAGCTCTGGAATAGAGAGCCCTGGGTCTGGAATGGAAACTGGAGAAGCTCCACTCTTGCCTGGCATCAAGCAAGCCATGGGATTTCTCCTGTCCCTCCCTCTGTGAACATCCCCTCAGTATCCAGGCTGGGGCTGGCACAGCATGAAGGGCCTGGCCCCACAGGAGATATTCTGGGCTGCAGAGCATGCACTGACTTCAAGGAGAGGTAAACAGGAAGAGAGTCCGTGCCCATCTTTGATTTCAATTAATTGCATTGGTTGACTAATCCCTCTAGTTTCATAATTTCAAGTCAATTCCTTGCACTATCTCTCCTATCCATGGCCATATGCCATCCTGGCTTCTCATCAGGGTTCTTTTGTACAAGATCATGGTGGGATAACAGCTACCTGCAGCTTTGCTTATCTCCTCCTTCATCTTCTTCTTTTTCCCCTAGAAACTGCATTGCACTTTGCCCTTTTAATTCTGTTCCTCTATTACTGTCATGTCATTTCAAACAGCACTGCCTTCATGCCAGTGCCAAGTGATGCATCTCCATCCCTCACTCTGTAATTTTGGTTTCAAAAGTCCTGAGCCTACCCCATAGGCTCAAGGGGGCAGGGAGGCAGAGGTCAGGTTTAAGGAAACCAATAGGTTTTTCTGAAAAACAGCTTTATTCTTCATATTGAAAATAAAATGTTCTCAACTCTTCTGGACACTGAACCAAGTCTGTGGCATAACTCACTTACCTGCAAGTAAAATGAAACCCTTATTTTATTAAAAGCACTTTCAAAAGGGCATCAGTTAGTACTCTAGAGAAGAATATAAAGAGAAATAACCTGAGTTTTTTAAGTGTATTTCCTCTGTATGGAATATGTTCATGGTTCCCAATAGAAATGTCATTAATTCTAACAGAATTTCTGCACATTCTATAAAGCAGGGGGCTTTTTATTTTCTTCGGGTTTTTTTTTGTAGAACAAAAACATACATTGTAAGTTAGGAAGAATATCTGTTTGATGCTTTACCTTCTGTTTACAATACCTAGTCAGTTACATTCTGAGACGGTACAAAAACAGCATGAGGTGCAGAGCTGCGAGTGCTGCATACGTGTGCACACACAGCCCTGTCGTAGCTCCCACATACATGCACTGTTATCAGCCTCAAGTTACCTCCCTTAAGGATGAACATAGGGACGGGGATGATTTTTTGGAGCCAGTCATGTTTAGCAGAGCTGAAAGGCAAGGTGTAACACCCACCTACTTCATACTTTGAGTGTTACAAAAACACATTCGAAAGATAACCCCAAATCACTCCCCCAGTCAAACATTTCACCCTTTCAGCATGACGCAGAAGTTTAATTTCCACTGATGGGTGACCTCGAGAGTGCTGTATATCCGCCCCCCCTCCCAATGGCAGCGGTTCCCCTCGCTGGCAGACTAAAGCGGGTCTATAAATAACTTCAAAAGGAATTGTCTCTCTCCTCACGCACTGCAGACAGCTGTTTACAGAGATCCCGACTCCTTATGCACTGCGTTGGCCCAGCTCTCATCCCACTCTTTCCTCTGCTCTTCTTAAAAATCCCTTGGGCGATGCGGTGCAGGTAGGACGGGGACCCTCCCCTGCCGCAAACGCCAGTTCCCGCAACTTGAGGGAGGCTGCCGGAGCGCGGCCCGGGGGAAATGTCTCAGGGCAAGGGGGGTGCGCTCTCGTGTAATCCGTCCTTAAGCTCCACGGTCCCGGCTGATCCCCGGCCCCGGGAATCCCCTCCTCCCCGGCCCGGAGCGGAGCCCGCAGCCGCTCGGGGCCCGCGCAGCGCCCACCTGCAGGGCCGGGCAGGGACACGCGTGGGGCGCCCGCACCTGCCCGCAGCCCCCGGCCGAGACAAAAGCCCGGACCGCCTCACCTCCTTCAGCTGCTCCAGCTCCTGCTTGAGGCCGTCATACTCCGCCTCCAGCTCATCGTACTGCTGCTTGAGGGTGAGCTTCTCCTCCAGCACCACCAGCCCATACTCCGCCGCCTGGATCTTCTCATGGGTCGTCTCGGAGAGCTCCCGGGTCAGCCGCTCGATCTCGCTCTTGTAGTGGTCTGCGCCCTGCAGCACCTCCTCCGCAGCCATAGCCCCGCCGGCACTGCCGCGCCGCCGAGCAGGCAGCCAGGGGGCGGGCGCGGCCGAGGGGCGGCACCGGCACGGCCGGCCCGGCCCGGGGATGGGGGTCGGGGCCGCCTGCGGCAGCCGCCGCCGCCGCCGAGCGCGGTCCGCCCCGCAGCAGCCGCGGCCCCCTCCTCCCCCGCCGGCCGCCCGGGACGCGCCGAGGCCGCGCTCGCCTCCCCCGGCCCTGCGGCGGCCCCGGCGGCGGGCACGCCTGGGCTGGCGAGCGGGCGGGCGAGCCCCGCTGCCCGGGGAGGCGGCGGCGCGCTGGAGGCCGGGGCGGCGAGCGGGGCGGCCGGGAGCGCGCCTTCGTGAGGCGGCTCCCGCGGAGATGCTGCTGCTGCTGCCGCTGCTGGCGCCCGCCTCCTCCCTTCCACACGGTCCCTCCCCTGCGCTCTTTAAGATGACAGCGTCCTCGGCTCTGGCATCGCCGCCGGGCGGGAGGGGAGGCGGCGCGGCAGCGGCGGCGGAGCGGCCCCGGCGCGCCGGGATGTGGGCGCTGCGCCTGAGGGGCTGCTCCGGCCGGGCCCCCTCGGTGCCGCTCCCCTCACGGCCGAGCCCCCTCCCTGGCGCTCCCCTCCTGCCCTACGCCGCCGTGTCAGCGCCTCTCGGTGCTGCCCGCCGCGATGCTGCTGCAGCGGCGGCGGTGCGGGTATAAGCAGACAGGGAGATGCAGCCCAGCAAACTGCGGGAGCGAGGGGGCGGCAGGAGTATTCCCCTGCTATTTCGGGAAACTGAGAAAGCAGAGTTAGCGCTGCTCCATTCCTTGCTCCCGGTGAATGAGTGCGTTTGGTTCTGGTCAAGGCAACCTGAATGCGAAACAGCAGCGGGGTCGGGGCATTAGGCTAGGGCTGCTCTTCCATCACCATTAGCACAAGGTCTCAGTGCCACTGATTAGACAGCAGGACAAAACTGATTCAGCTCCGATGCGGTCACACCATTGTTTCTCTGTCAAATTAACCGGGGGACCTGATGCATAGATTATGTCAGTTTTATGCCGGCTTTATGCTGACTGCAGAAAGACAGATGCTACTTGTCCAGCATAAAATTGGAGTGGTGCAGACAGACAGGAGCTGATCTCTTACAAAGCCTGCCAGTAAAAAGTTAACACACCAGATTAGGCGCATTTTACATATTTGAACTGGAAGAGTGAGTTCATCCTGGATCAGTGTCATAGCCTTTTTTTTATACTCAGATTCTTAGATTCCAATTTACTGTTTCTTCAAACTACGGCCTGCAAATAGATTTGAATTGATATTGGTCAATTTTTGCTCTAAGTACTAGCAGGACCTGTTTTTCACGTTTTACAGACTTATTTTACTTTTACATTTACTCCTTTAAAGGTTGTCAACTGAGTTAGAATTTCCAAATTGAGGTGTTTGTTCTAAATAGAAGTTACCTGTAAGAAGATGGATGTCACTACCGACCAATGCAGCACTGTATTGGAAATCAAAGACACAGATTTCCTTTCTTGCTGACCTGATAATGTTGTTTTCAACAAATCACATTCCCTTTCTACCATGGCTTCCCCATGACTAAGAAATAGGTAAAAATTATTAGACTGCTCAGCAAAGTTCTTTGAGATCTGCAAATGGAAGCACTAACACTAGTTATACAATTTATGCATACAGTATATGGCATATATCAATTTTATAAATATGTGTGCATGCATACATAACTAATACATTGTAATCCAGACTGCATAAACACTTCTCATTGCCTAGAGAGCATTTGTGGAAGAAGCAAGCAAAGTAATGGAAGTTCTATCAATTTTTACCTTGAAAACCACTTCCAAAATGCACATTTTTAATAAATTCTATTGTAGAAGCAAGTGTGAATACTAATAGGAAAGAACCAAGTGTGAATATTAATATATGAGAAGAGTGAGTGGCTCTCATTGATGAGTGAATGTCTTAAGAGAGGAGAACACCAGTATCCCAACTGTAATTCCCATGATATAGCTAACCTCAATATACCCATTTCTTAAAAGACAATGAGAGATTCCACAAATCAGAAGGGGGAAAAAGCCCAAATTTCAAAGGAGAAGCAAAATGTAGTCTCAAGAGCCTTTACAAGTTCTAGTCTAGTTGCCTTTCTCAACTTTGCACCTATGATAGCCATTGTGCATGGAAATGTTTATTGAGCATGGAAATGGATCAGAAAACAAACATCTCTGAGACCAGTGCTAAAAATGAGTGGTTGGGTCAAGGATAGTGTGGAAACTGGCTGAAGCAACAGAATGCCTACAGCTAATCAAGCCTTGGTGTAACTCCACCTAATGTAATTTGGTTGACAATCTCGCTCACAAGCCAAGGGCAGCCTCACCTCTCCTAAATATCTGCATCCAGAGGGGAAATCTGGTGTTTTGCAGTGTGCCAGGTTTTCTGCAGCACCCCAAAAGAAAGTGCAGTGTTTCACACTGCAGGTGTGGTGCCCTGTGCAGCAGCGTGTGGCATTCACATTCTCTGAAAAAATCCCTTTGCCCGGGATTTTTCTGCTGGGAAGCTGAGGAGCCTCAGAGAAAAGGAAAACAATTCTTATCTCATTTGCTTCTCCTGTGTTGTGCTTGTCTGGAATGTGTTTGGAGATTGTTTACCCACAGGTGATTGTTTCTTTGGATTCTGGTGTGAGTTGTTTTCACTCATTGGCCAATTGGGGCCAAGCTGTGTCGGGACTCTGGAAAGAGTCACGAGTTTTCATTATTATCTTTTTAGCATTTAGTTAGTATCTTTTTCTGTATTCTTTAGTATAGTATTTTTTAATATAATATAGTATAATAAAGAAATAAATTAGCCTTCTGAGAACATGGAGTCAGATTCATCATTCCTGCCTTCATTGGGACATTCCCAGCAAATACAATAGCAGTGCACAGTGGCTGTGAGGTCCTCAAGCTCCTCTGAATTGAGAACACCAAGATGCCCATGATTTTCTGTGACTAGTGCCCATTTATCCCTCTTCTTGCCTCCTAAATGTAAACAATATCAAACCTGGATTCTTTGGTGATATTTGTTTTAAAATTCTACTTCTTTAAAAGTCTTCTTTGTAAAGTCCCCAGTTGTCAGGGGGCTTTTGTTGTCAGTTGTCAGTTTCTCTGCACTGACTGGGCTGGGCAGCACACACATGGATACCTTCAGACACACATATTTAATTGAGTGAATCCCACCTTTCACTTCTCTGTCTTTTCTTAGGCCTAAAAACCAGCACCTGCATTCTGTTGTCAAGATCCTCCATCTGTATTTATAATGGACTGCTAAGGTCACTGATGGACCTGGAAAATATTCAAGCTCCTTTCCCTGTTACCAGGAGCTCTGGTTTTGCCTCATTCCTGACTCTGTGGAGATAAGAAAAGATAGATGATCTTACAATATAAATAGCATCTAAGTTTTAGCTAAAGTCCTCATTGAAGAAGGAGGTGCTGCAGCATGACTCAAAGGCAGTTGTTCCCTAGGGATTATCCCATAACAGAGGCGGTGGGACCTCCTCTGATGGAGATCTCTGGCTTTCTGGGGTGCCTGTGATAAACTATGGATTCAAGTAATGGATTCAGTTGTGTCAGCAAAGCTCTGGTCTCAATCACAGTTCTGGTACCTTTAGGAGCTCACTCATCAGTGCAGATAGCCCTGAAACAATGATATTGGCATTTCAAATAATTCCACTGCCTTGGTGTGATCACCTCACATTGGTTTAGGTCCTGCTGCAATGCTCTCAGGTTTTCTGCCTCCCCAAGTTCCAAAAGCATACCCTGGTCTTATTAAAGGTTGGCATAGCACCCTGCATTGTTATCTCTCCTTCATTTTGCCCTGTGCACCACCTTCACATGAATATTTCAAACAAGTCTCAAGTAATTTTGTCTACATGTCATTCCACATATTTTAATAAAACAAGCTTCATTCTGACTGCATCCATTTCATGTGCATGAAACTGAATTCCTTTGAATTCCTGACATGTGATACCACTGGATTCCTAAACCAAGGATAATAGGTTTCAGTCCTGATTACACATTTTTTTAACCAACCAGATATTCAAGGACAGGGAAAATTATACAATTCAAATCTTACTCAAGAGATTATTAAATTTCAGATCATTTAAGAAGCATTTGATGACCTCTATGAAATGAGTGATTGGTTCTGTGCCTTGGTGACAATGCAGCTGTAAAAGCAGCCTGCACTGCATGGCACAAGGCTGGATCTGCACCTGCAGCATGCACAGACATCCCTGTGAGTCCATTTGTATGGAGCATCTCAGAGCACCAGAGCCCAAACCAACTGAGAACTGCTAATTAGCAGTGTTTGGCAGGCTCACCAGAGTGGCCAAAGGGAAAAAAACAGCAAGAAAAAGAAAGGTATGAGGACAAATCTGTCATTGTTAAGGAAAATGGCATTGATTTTCTGAATGGGAAAAAAGGGAAAAGCACTGAGAGAAGTCTCTATGGGAACTGTGCTGGGTCTGGTTTGGAAATAAACAAGTGGCTGTTACACTGCCAAAGCTTTATTTTTCTCCAGCACTGAATATAAACATCACCTTTGTAATGAATGGTCAGCCTAGAGATAAAAGGGAGACACTGGGAAGAAAATGAAATTTAAACAGATATTATGAGATCCTAGTCCAATAGAAATGGTAATAGGTTTTAAGAAAATTAGTTTATGGAGCATGTTAAGAGAAACTAAACCCAGGAGCTAAGAAACAGTAATGCATATAATAAAAAGTAATGATGTTTCTCTGATTAATGAGTGTCAGCATTCAGAAGAGAGGCTTTCAAACAGCTGTGTCCTTATGTGAGTCCTCTGTGAACTGCCTTTAAAGGATCTGCAAAGGTAAATAATTTTAATATTTGTAAGCCTATTATCAGGTGGAGTTAAATGTGATATACAGGAAACTGTCATTTCACCAGAATAATTTTGGGCTCCAAAAAGCTGAAGGTGGAAAACCACTTGTGTAGAACATATGGAACATGAAAGGAAAATGAACTAAAGCAGAACACTTCAACAAGGAAACCAGGGAAA